TCCACTAGGCCAAATGTGGTTTATCATTTTGCTGGAGAGTGCGATCTCATGCCCGAGATGCTAGGAAAGAGTGCATTCAGGAAGAGTTACTGATGCCCAACATAACTGTAGTCATAGGACAAGCAGAGCTAAGAAGGTAATCTTCCACTGTTTATGTGTTTGGTGCTATGGCAAGTGTTGACCGATATTTTAAAAAGCAGATTGTTCAATGGTTTTATCTTTACACTAGGGATGGTCTTTTAGACTGTAATGAGTCTTTTAGCTCATTTTCTATATGTTAAATATAGTACTGGTTCAGTAAATGATGGTGTCACACACTTTTATTTAAACCTAGTTTGAGGGTCTAGAAAGTATTTCAGAGAAGGTGAAGCAGTGTATCCCCAGGTGAAGTCAGCTTTGGTGTCTTGAACTCCAAATTGCATTTGTTTCATGGCTAATTGTAGCTGCTAAAGGAACTTGGAAGACAGAACTGAAGCCTGTAGTTTTAATCCTATAAGTTTTATGCATGCATAAGTAGAAAATCCAGGCTCCTTGATAACTCTTTAGTGGGCATTATCTACCAGTATTGTGTGGGGATAGGGAAAGAGGAAGAGAGCACATTTATAACGAGTTATACAGACGACAAGCTGGAAGGCATGGCTGGTACACTTGAGTGTACTTGAGTTGGTTATCTTCAGCAGCCCTGTTGGTCCCTTTACCACTAGCCTGGCATGTGTTACTGGGGCTGATTGGGAGTTCTCCCAACTGTAGCACAACAGGAAGATCAGATTCTGTGCACTGGCACACGAGAGGCTTTTTTTTCTTAATCACAGAAGCAACAGCACGGGCACTGCTAACGATGGTCATTTGAAATATGAGCCTTTTAGTGATGTAATTTGAAATAGCTTGTATATCCCCTCTCTGAACTGTGTTTGGTCTTTTTCTTAAGACTGCAGAAATTTGTCCTGTTATGGAATACGAGTTGTTTAATTTCTGACTTGAAAATCGCAGTGAAGTAATTGCTATGACTTGTTTTCATAGAAGATACTGATAGAGTGCTCTCTATATACAGAATGCCTTTCAAATGTGTAAAAGAAAGCTGTTGCTTTGAGGAGTTAACATCTTAAAACAAAAGTCCCGGGAAAAAACTTGGAATCCCTTCTGTGAGTAATGTATTTTGCACAACCCCACCCAACCTAGTTTCACTTTTTGTTAATTAATGCTTTACCCTTAATATTGTCAAGCAATGCTCTGAAATATGAAAGAGTATCAGGCTTACAATTGCCTGTGCACACCAGTTAGTCCTTTTTTGTGTGAGTTCATCCTGTGCACTGGACACAACCAAGGTCCTATTGGCTAAAAGTAAAAAATACATAATTAAGTATTGTAACCTGATATGAATGTATAAAGTTCCCTAGGCTGACAGTAAACATGTGCTAGCTTCTAGAGTTAGGAAAAAAACTAAGAAAAAATGGCTAAACATGACATTTAACTTTTCCCATTTTTTTCCAAACAGGTCACTGGTTACAGTAGCTTAAGCTTTATTGTGTAACTTAAAGGTAATAATAAGTTATAACCAGACATCTTAATATACAGATAATTAGCATTTAAATAGTCTTAAACCTTCAGGTGCTGTATGCTAAAATGTTTTCACCACCATGGGTTCTGGTGTCCTCAGGGGCTGCCAAGCTTTAAACATAAGAGTTTTGAGATCTCAGTTTTTGTAACAAGTCCATGAAATGAGTAACTTTTCTACTTATTTGCAAACTTCAGCAAAAAGCCCAAAGTTGGTCTGCAGGATACGATTATTTTGGTAATGGTGGTTTATTTTTTGTTACATAAGTTATATAGCATTCTTTAAAAGTTTAAGAGCTTTTTTGGGGGTCTAGAGTGGGTATTACTACTGTAAGTGTATATATATATATATATATATCAATCTACCTTTCATGTTAGCAGTGTTGATATTAGTAGCAGTAACATCAGATTGTCAACAATCAATCTTCCTAACAAAAATATATTTCTAAAACTTCAGTACTTTATTTGGTTAATGCTTATTTTAATTGAGTTTTGGTTTTAGCTTGTGCTAAAATTAGGTAAGCATTGCTCAAGCTTTTCTTCAGATCACAGATCATATGTATATTTTGGGAAGAGGGCAGTGCTTTTAATATGACTCCCAGAGCTGGGGTTTAAAAACACCCAAAACCTGCAGAAAATCCTGTAATAATCTGATCCTTTCAGATTCCTACCTTGAACAATTTATAGCACATATTTCTAGACCCTTCAAAAGGCTACCTCAGTAAATTTGATAGCTGAGATTTTGTGATACATTTCTGCCTGTTGAAGTTTTTGTTAAGAAACCCTGCATAATGCTGAACTCTTCAGACTTCTCTGTGGATATGAGTGATTATGAGCTGTCTAATCTTACCTTTGTAACGTGTTTTATTGAGGGAAGAAAGAGGCAGTATGAGTTACTGTATGTACTCTTGCTGTGAACAGGAAATAATTTCATCTATGGAGCAGACTTTATGTGCTACCTTTTTCATTAATACTATTTCCATGTTGGTTCCCAGTATTCACCAAAGCTACAGATGTAGTTGGTCATATGCTGTTCTCTACTATAAAAATGTTAAGAGCAGTTGAAAACTTAAGTCTGTTTCAGATGCTTGGAGTTAGCAGTCGTGGGTGTTTGTTCATCATTTCTGTCTCAATTCCCTGTCTAAGAAAACTTGCCTATATCAGGCACAAGTTTTCCTGTGGCTCTTGTTAGTGTGCTGCTTATGAAGAAACCAATTATTTATTGTAGAGCTTAGATGTAGAGTTTAAAAAAACATGCAAACTGAAAGCTCAGAATGAAAAGAAGTATTCAATTGACGCTTTATTCTTTAAGCTTGTCCTCTACTAAATGAGGCAGAGATGTCAGTAAAAATACTGTACCTGCAGGAGGGCAGAATTAAGGTATTTTGTGTTGCCCAAAGGTTTGACTTTCAAACATTAACCCGTTCTAAACTCTTAAGAAAAAGCCTGTAGTAAATTACATATGGAAAAGGATGCAAATGTATTTCCATTCCATGTCTAGGTCCTCTTCTAAGTGACTTCTCCAAGGCAACACAGTAATTCACTCAGATAGTCACATTTAAACTCCTGGTGTTCCTAACTTTGTCTTTGGGAGCCCCTGGGTTCTCAGCCTGGGGTTGCAGCCCTTCAGAGTGGTTAAATGCAGTCTGAAGGTTTGTAACCGTGCAGCTTTTTTCCCAGCTTGATGAAGCTGGGGTCCTGCTATGGAGGCGAGTCTCTACGTAGGGGGGTAAAAAGGAAGGAAGGAACAGTTGCTGTTATTTTTAAGTGACAGCTTTCTCATCAGTTTACATGTACTTGTGCTACAAGTAAATTGATATTTTTCTTTTTTTTATGTAAATATCATGTTTGTTTATTCTAAGACTGCATTTGGAGATGTGTAGTGCCGCCTGTTTTCTTTAGCTTTCCGAAGTCTACAGCAGTAAGATTTATTTTAAATTATTTTTTTATTAATAGCATGAGCATGTAGTTGTAATTGCTTGTTGAAGAGGGACAGTTAGTGATTGCATAATGAAAGAGCTTAGTCTGTGGATTTTTTGACCAATTAAATAGCTGATTGATAGTGGGAGGTGGAGGTGACAAATACCAGAAAGGAAACAACTAGAATTTGAGAATCATGCCTGTTTCTTCAGCACCCTCAGCAATGAGGGTATTTCAAATTCTGTAGCATCCAGATTGAATATAACCTCAAAATAGTTCATACTCTGAAGTTCACAACCTGCTACGTTAGCAGTTGGATATTATTTAAACTAACCTGGAATTGCTCTAAAATCAAACATCTTTTCTAATATTGTGTTGTTCAAAATGCACAATAAAATTTGAGACTAGGAGACTGACAATACAGTCTCTTGTCATTAGTAGGCTTCCTGTTTTCTGTTCTCAGTGTTCATCAGCACACAGTTCTGCTGGTTAGTAAATGTAAACTCCTCCACTTGTGCCGGTCTCCGATGAGCGAGAGATGGTTATGTGGCTTTTCTACTGCTGTATCTTTTTATAAGGCTGGGCCTTAAACTTCAGCCTTGTGATGACTTGTGTGCGAATAAAAACATAACTGCAAAGGTCTTGTTAGCTGTGCAGTTGAAGCTTAAAATATGCTTATATTCTAGTATTTTACTAGAAAATTGAGAGTATTTTAGAGGCTTTTTTTTTTTTTTAGCATCAGGCAAAGTAATTAAGCAATGAGTTATCATTTATATTGTAACTATCTTTTTAGAACTCTGGCTCGTGAGTATTTTATGATTCATATGAGGATGATTGAAGAGGTATTACCTTGCTATGCTACTAAATATTCTTCCTGTGACGCAGGCAGTGTAATTGGACGGTGTATCTTCTCGGCTTCCACACTTCATGACCTACTATGTTGGCTTATACTGCTGTTGATTTCAGTTTACATTAGTACTCTGGGGTTTGAGCTCTAGTAACTGTGCTGTCATACCACCTGCTCTACCATATCTGTTCTGTTGGTATATCCTCTGTCAGAGGTGGTGGGCAGATGTCTAGGGTGGGTAATCTTGTCATGTTTAGCTGGGGCAACTGACAGGGCTTGTGATTCAGATCTTAATAAATGTGATGAAGTGAAGGTCTTTCCTCCACGGGAGGGGGACTGGCCTTGCACAGAACTAGAAAAACTTGTACCTATAATCTGTTCTCCCCCCGTAATGACAGGAAGTTTGCATTTTAATCCAGATTAGAATTGTAAGTCTCTTTGGCTTTCCCTACCATGTCAAACAGATTTTCTTTCCAAGTAATGTTTTATAGTTAGCTTCAGCATTTTAAAAATAATACCAGCCTCCCTCCCCAAGAAAAACCAAACAAAGAAACCCCTCTTAAAACATCAACAACCCTTCCCCTCCAACTTTCCAAATATTTGAATTTCTTTTTCTGTTTCAAACTGTAGTTCAAATTTATGTAATAATCTTTTTTCTCTTGCTGTTTTTCTTTTGTAGGAGGGAGTGGAGAGCTGAAAGGGATAACTTACTCAAAACTGGTAAGTACTTCTTCCTAGGGCTAAAATGGCTTACCTAAGAATAGATGATATGAAGAGCTGGCATCCATTTCTGGAAAAGTTTGATGCTTACTGAAACTGAAATCCTATCTATTCTTGTATTCATAAATTAAATCTTAAAAAGTAAATGTTACTGATGGAAGCCCCAGTCTTATAAATAAAATCTGTGTAGGACTGATATTTGGGCCCGGAGGTCTCTAAGTACAATGGACATTTAAATTCATCTACTCAGAAATAATAGTGTTAGGGTTTGGGGTTTTTTTTCCGTGTAATGTGAAAAGCAAATTTCTTTGAAGGGGTTTTTGGTGCAGAAAGGCTTCTCTCTAAAATTCTAAGTTACTTGGAGACCTTGCGTTTCTAGTGTAGCTTCCAAAAGAGCCATAGTTTAAATAGCATTGTGATAATTTAGAGGTCTGATGTGGGTTGTATTTAATTGAGATAACAGAGAAGTGTGAATGCACTCTACATGATTATTGTAGAGCTAAAGGTTTCATTCCATCTCTGAATATTTAAATAGTCTGTAAACACGTGCTACCCAAGGCAGTGCATTGGGGTACTTTTCTGAGTGTGTTCAAGTCTTGAAGCAACCACTTAAGAAATAAGTGATTGTTTGGAACAAAGGAATGCCAGCAAGAAGTTGATGGGAGAACTGCTGCCTCCAATTGTTGAAATCCATCCAAAAAATGGCAAATTTACCTCTTGCGCTCAGTGTTCTTTCTTACTGAAACTTGGAAGTATGTCTGGATGTACAAGAGATGCACGTACTTGTCAGTCTTCTGCTTTCCTTTTGGAAGTCACTGGTTCTGCCATTAAATGAAGCACTTGCATATTTTCCTTTAAGAACTAAAGTAGTGAAGGATTTTTGCCGACCAACCCATCCATACAATTTCAGTCATCTACAAGCTCTTTAATTAAAATAATTCCATTGTTGTAAGAGTAAAGTGGAAAATGCACTATACTTTATGATTAATCCAGAGATGGTTTTATACCTCTTTGAATGCGGTATTGTAGATAGTTTATAATGCCACTGGACTTTAGTTTTCAAATCTTCCCTTGAAGTTCAGTCTAAAAGAATAAAAATTTCAAAAATACTGAGGATGTGTGCACTTGCAAAATGTGTAACCACTTGCTTGTTTAGTTTTGTACCTCCTGTCAAAAGAAGTATGAGCAATGTTTAACCAGATGCCCTGATAGATGTTTCTAGATGTTGTTCTATGTGAACCAGAAAAAATACACTAAGTTTTGCTGGATGTAAGGAATGATCATTTGTTTTCTTTTTTTTAAATAGTTCTTTAACAATGGGTGTGTAAGGTACTTAAGGGGAATTCTGGACAGGGATAACTTTGGATAGTTATTCTTGCCTGGGGAGGGAAGCTATAACTGCATATTCTAGATGGAAATAACTGTATGTATTTCTTACTCAGAATTCGGCAACTTGACCAAACTTTTAAATGAAATACTATGTTCATGTCTCTACCCCTGTAAACTTGTCTAGGCTAAGCAACCACTTGTTTCTGCAAAGCAGTGTCACCCCTTAAAAATTAATTTTGAAAAATCTTTCTAGCTGTTCAAGGCATAGATGCAATTAGCTTGGATTAACTTTTATGTACCATCAATACTACAATTTCTATCTGTCAAATTAAGTTGTACATTAATAGTAATTAATCTTTATATTGAGTAATTACTTAATTTTTTTTTTTAACAGAAGTACTATGTCTTTTTGCCATGAACTAATATTAGACTTTACAGTTAAATGTATTAAAATGATGGATATTATTTATATTGTCAGTTGAGAGAACTCTCTTCCATTGTCCTGCACTTAACTTTAAAGTTGGCATGTAGTTACAGGGTGATACAAACTGTTCATCATGTGCCCTCTCACTTGTTGAAGACACAGCAAGAAAGAAACTATGGCCGTACCTGCCTGTGTCTTTACCCCAAAATCGAATTTCCAAGGTTCATGAAAGACTTCTTGTCTCTGCAGTGGGTTCCAGTTTTCATTAACCAATCTCCCACGTGGTCTTCTGAAGCATAGTTTCTTTTGAAACTGCAGTGGTAGGGACTTAAAGCATGCTATCATTATTCTTGTCAGTGAGTGGAAGTAATAATCTAGGATTCTGTTTTCTCATTACTGTTTGTGGTAATAGGTCAGGGAGCTATATGTAATTTCCATGTATCCCTTGATACAAATTACAATTTTATAGAGAGTAGTGCTGCAAAGGCAGCTGTTTTCGCTCATCTGTGTCACATGTGGGAGAGGCCCTTGCAGCAGGTCATTTCATGTGTTAGCTAGAAAGTCTGATCAGGGCTTTGTTATTTAAATAAGTAACTTTAAGCTAACAGCAGACAGCACTGACAAATAATGAGTTATATAAATATAAAGCTTGTAAACCCCCTTTCTAGTCTTCTCTTTTTGTAACATGTTTCTTTTTGAAAAGAGAAATTATTAATTTAAATAAAAACAAAACACGCACCCTCAACCTTTTTATTTTCAGGAATGCACAAACTTGTATAGCACTTCGGTTTACTGTATTGAGACAACATTAAAATAAAAGTCTTTAACTTTGGGGAATTACTCTCCTTTTTACAGCCTACATGTCTAATATAAACTGTCAGTATCCTTTTGAAAACACTGTAGTCCCGTTATAGAGACCTCTGAGTTGGCAACAATACCTGTGCAATAATTGCGAGCAATTTGCAAAAAAATAAAAAAAAATAGGAACGATTTTAACATTACAGAAATTCTTTAGTTGGGGTGTCTTGATGGAAAAGTGACTGAAAGGATTGCCATATAATGTTTTCCAGTGTCTTTTATCTGTATGTATTTATAGATGGTTTTTACATAGGTTCCACCATGATTTGAGCATATGGGAATCTTTATCGTGTTTCAGGAGCTGATACTTTTAGTGTATTTCTGAAAAAAAATCTCTTGTCCAACTTTCAAAGCTTTTAGAAATATGTGTGATAATGCTTTTCTATGTCAGAGGTTGGGGGGGCGTTAATTTGTTTGTAGTACAAGTGAAGATGGTAAACTCATAGTCATGATCTAAAAGTAGAATTCCAAGATTAAAAGGATTTTAAAATTAATAATTTTGAGAAAGTCTTGTGTTGCTTTATATGAATCTTATGCTCCTTCAGAACAGATTTCAACTGAAATGACTAACTCAACACAAACTTTAGGCAGTAGGTTATTAGTATATTAATGTTGTTCTGTCAAATTGCAATGCACACTGTCCCATCCAAGAACAGCTTTATAGTATCATGGAAGTATGTTAATGCAGTGCATTGAATTTAACAATATGTCTTGAAGAATTTTAGTCTCCAGAATATGTTTTCATCTACACAGATTTTTAAAACATTCTCAGTAAAATTTTCTAATTTAATGTGCAACTGCAATAGGGTATTGGTAGGAAATAGCTGCCTGCAAACTAAGATAAGGGACAAGTATGTCAGCTCTGGAGTATGTCGGAAGTAACAAATTTGGCTAAATGACTCCAAGGTAGGCATTTTGTAGAGCCTGTAGATTTCTTATGTTCAAAAGACTGGCTGTGTTTAGGCTAGAAAGCTGCATTGGAATATAGTTCACTATTGAATTCCTGCTCTGTTATAATCTCCTTTTTTCAAATTGTCAAACCAAAACGAAACCTTTTTTTTCCTATAGGACTGGTGTTAAAGAGGGAACCAGAAACTAAAGGCACTGGAATCAGCAAAGACACTTTTAGAAAAAGTGGAGAAGGTAGAGAATGGAGCTGCAGACTCTACAGGAGGCTCTGAAAGTGGAAATTCAGGTTCACCAGGTAATTTGTATTCTTTCTTGCTTTAGACTCTCAAGTAATAGCAGTATTAGTATTGCTGACAGTATTACTGCTAATGGGAGCATTAAGCAGTAGCACTACAACTATAGTAATAATTGTTTTATAAGCTCAAAATACTTAAGAATTTTATAGTCTGCATTTTGACCCCACCACCTGTTGTTTTTCAGCAAATGTGAAAAATCTACATATCAGTCTGTGGGTGGGGATTTTTTTTTGATATTTTGTAGCATTAATAACTGTTTTGAGAACTCTACATTCAGCAGCCTCTATCTGAAAGGTTTTTCTGATGTTCTGAAGCCAACTGCAGTATTCAGTTGTCGTTGGAGGAATATCGTGGAGGAACTTTAGAATGAAATGTATGTAGTGCTGCACGGTTTCGTCTGGTGCTTCTCTTCTAGAATGTCTTCTACGTCAGTGCCTTCTAAAGTTGTATATTTCTGATAACCAAAATGTTATGGTGCTTGGGCTTGGAAATTTTTACATTGGGTATTTTTACTGGTAAGCTGTCTAATTCTATATGGCAGTAGAGTTGCATTTTGCAGTTCTGTTACAATGTAGTTGAGGAAATATTAGCAATAATAAAACCTAATTTAGCAAATGTAAGAGGACATATGCATATTAATTCTTGGAACAAAACTCTTACAGCCGTAGACACAGATTAGCTGCCAATTTGAAATGTTAAATTTATCAATGAATCCTTTACTAAACACAGTTCTCCAAGTATTCATGGAGCTCTCCAGATATCTGAAACTCACAACTGTTACACAGTGGATAAAAAAAATATAAGTTGCACTGATCAGTTTAAACCATCATATAAAATTTGGAAAATGTTTCCATATTACTTGGTGACTTGTCTAAAAAGTGTTCTTGATGGCTTGCTCAGTACTTGCTGCAATGATGAGCAGATTGCAAGAAGTCAAATGGGGGAATTATTAAAATGAAACTATGTCAGCTTTAACAAAATGAAACTTACAGCTAGGGAAGAAAACTTCAAAAAGCTAAAGATGGATTTCCAGAAGTAGAGATGGGTATTTTGCTCTCCTCAGAAACTCCCAAGGCCCTTGCATTCAAACAATGAAGTCTTGTTATGGGGGTAAGGAAGTTCAGAAATTACCCATGGCATTTTGCTGCAGACATAGAAATATCTGAGGCCAGTAATAATTTTTTCAAGTATTATCTTCTGTAAAGTGATCAGAACACTAGTCTTACTTGTGTTTGTGTAACAGTGTTTACCTCTTGTGGGTATCTTCATTCCCCTTTATGCCTCAGCTAACTAAAAATTTTAAGACTTTGAATTTTGAATAATGTTTAGCATCTGTTCATAATGACGATGCTGAACAGGGATGAAGACTGGAATACGTCCAAAAAGACTTTTTTTACCAGCTTAAAATTTTTTTTGACCCTGTTTGCTTTAGCTTTGCCCAGTCCTCATTAAAAGTGAGACCTGAACTGAAATAAACTTCAATTAAATTCAGTTTTAGTTGGTGAAACTCGAAAAGCCATTATATCAAAAAGTTGTCTTTTTTAATTCAAGATGCCATATATTTCTATAATTAAGGCTAAGAACAAGTATATGTTTATGGTAGAAAATAACACTTGCAACAGCATGTTGAGTACTTGAGTAAACTTTTTGTGAACTGTTGTTGTCAAATGGACACTGATAGAAATTAGTTTTGGCACCAAAAAAAAAGAAATCTTCAAATGAAATGCTTGAACTTTCTTGTATAGCTTTGAATTTTGAATCCTGAAGAGATACATTATATCTCTTCTTTTTGTTCAGGATTTATGGAGCAGTGTCTCATGTCATCTTTTATTTATCTAGTATTTCTTTTTCTGAGGACTCTCCAGAAAAGTTTGACAACACTCATACAGTCATGTTTTTTTGTCCCATTGCAAGTGGTCGTGGATGTCTGTGATCCTGTATGGAGTTCAGCTCAGCACTGTCAAAGCCCCCCAGTTCCTGATGCAGTGTATTGCTTGTGACTGCTTACATGGCTGTACAAAGCGATGTTCAGTTGTTTATGCAATAGCTCCTTGTTTCCTGCCTATTCTATTTCACCTCCAGAACTCTGTCTGAAGCTTTCAAAATGCTGCTTTGGCAGAGTGAGTCTTAAATTACCAGTAAGGATCCAAAGGAGGTGTTCTGTTATTTAGAAAAAGCTACTTTTTTGGTTTTGTTTCTATGATCAGAGAATCTTCCATGAATGGCATCTGACCAGATCACTTGCTATATCAGTGTAATACAACTTGAATATTCAAATATCTTCGATGTCAAAACTATATTGATTGTCCTGAGAAGAAATGCATCAAAGTACTTCGTTCTGCTATTGTATTGACTTAATTAAGGTCATTTTGAAGCAGTCTGCTCTTCATAGTTTTGATCACAAGAGGTGTTAAAGAAGTTATATTTGGTTACTCTTATAGAAGAATTGGGTTTTGTGGATGATTCCTTGAACTGATGTAGGAAAGAAACTAAGCCATAGTTTTCTCTCTTATTTCATACTGAAAAGATCAGTATGTTTTAAAATATCTAAAATTTAACTTGCGTTTGTGGTCAGCGAAAAAGATGATTTTTTTTCTCCCTAGGATTGTGTGATGCGATGCTTTGTGATCCATACATTTAGCAGTGCCTTATGAAGAGTTTACTGACTGTATTGTCTTATGACTGTCTGCAGGAGCAGTTTGTATAAAAACAGTTTTGTTGCTTGTCAAATTCCAACGTGGTGGGAAGCAGCAAGGAAAAATAAGCTGAGTGTGCCTGTGACGCTGAATGGCAGCATGACGAAACAGTAATGCTCAGCTTAGATAAATGCCAAGTGATGCACTTTGGAAAAACAGGCTCAGTTTTACAGCTGCAGTAGCAGGCTGTGAATTGGCAGTTAGGACAGTGGAGGGAGTTCTTGCAGTACAGAGTACCTGAGTGTTGCGTGCAGTTTTAAACTTTGTCTCCAGATGATAGAGGCAAACTAGAGAAGTACAGGGAAGAGTGCCAAGAGTGAACAAAGCAATGGAATGATTTGTGCATAAGGAGACACTCAATCTGAAGAAGTGATGACTGATAGGGGAATATGTGGTGTGGAAAAAATGTGGGAAGAAGCGGAATAGAGAAGCAGCCATAGAATCATATAACATTGAGTTGGAAGGGACCTGTAAGTATCGTTGAGTCCAACTTCCAACTCCTTTGGCTCAAGTCAACTCTAGTTTTCTCTAATCGTATTAGTCCCTCATGCTTGCATTGTAAGGAGACAGATTCAAAAGAAAAAGGTTATCCTTTTACATAAGAGTCCTTTAGTTTAACTTGGAAACTTCATGTCACAGAATTGAGAGTGTTTTCCTGAGTTTAAAAAGTAATTAAGGCAGATAAATGAAAGAAATGTGTGCTACAAGCTATTGAACCTAAGATGTAATCTTTGAAGACATCAGAGATGTAAATTTTTGAAAGATGAGAAATAACACTCTATTCTTGTCCAGCATAGACGCTGTTCTAACGTGTTTGTTTTTTGCTGTTGGCTACTACTAGGAAATGCAGCAGGTAAACCTGCGGTCTGATGCAAAATTATCTTTGTGTTGGCTTTGTTTGGGTTTTTTTTAGTACAGTTTTTAGGATATGAAAGGAAATAAACTTTTAAAGAGAATTAGCTGACAGTCTGAATTCTCTGAGTGGTATCAATGCAGATGGAGTAGAACACGTGTTTTTCTTGCTTGCTTTGTCCTTCTGTTTTTCACTCCTTTTCCTGATTCTGATGAGTAAATGAAGAAGAAAGTAGAGACTTTACATGGTTCTTTGCGTTTGTGGAAGGGACATGGCGATGTGATGAATAAATGTGGCTGTAACCAAAAAAGAAATGGGGAATTTTTGGTTTACCTTATCTTCATTCTGGGCTCTGTTTTTCTTCAGTGACTTTTTCTTGCTTAGCAATAGACAGCATTCTCCTGCAGCTGCCTAAAGGAAGCCAAGGAGGAAGAATGGTGAATGGTAACAATCTGTCTGCTTTCCCTTGGATGTGGAGGGCATCTCTTCTACAATGATCTCAATCTCTCTTTGAGGGAGAAAAGTGGCAAAGATACTTCTGAACATGGGTCTTCCATCTGGTACCAGCCGAGCCAACACACAGGCGGAGCCATAGTACTTGAAACATTGTGCTCTTGAATATACAAACAGCTTTTGTGCCTGCAGCAGTTATCTGTGATTTGTGTTTCTTGTGACTGCAAGCAAAGAAGGCAGCAGTTATAGAGGAGACACAGCTATTAGATTATCTTACCCAGCTGGCTTTAATTGTCTTTAAAAAGCATTCACTTATTCAAGAGCTGTTGAGGAGGAGCAGAAGTGATGGCTTAGTACAGTTGTTTTACTAAATTAATAAGAACGGGCTTGGAAATTATATAATACTGGACTCCAGACCTTGCTATTGAAATGCTGTAAACTAAGTATTTTGCTTTTACAAAAGTTCTTAAAAAAGACTGAATTTTAAACTCTTCAACAAGATATGTAATGAAGCCTTCATTGTATTGTTGCATCTGTTTTCTTTCTAGAAATTGGTTGCCCAAATGAAGCAAGATCCACAGGTAAATATTTATTTTTATATTGGATTATTTACCCTTAAAAATGCAGGAAATAACAGTGCATGAAGTTTGAGAATTTTAGATATTTATTGATCGCATTCTTCTTTGCTAACAGAGTGTTTAGAAGAAAACTTATGAACAAGTTTTGAAACAATGAATGGTGGATAGTTTAAAACAAAACCAAAACTCTTGCTATTATGGAGCTTTTAGCTCATATATATCCTTATTGGTTTAAATCAAGTGACCCTTGTGGGCTTAGGTGCCATTCAAATGTGCAGTAAGTTTATGATTCTATTAGAAGCTGTTCTTTATAAAAGGTGCCATTGTTAGAAATACCTTTTTTATTTTTTTGAGTATCAGAAGGTTCACAGTCCAAGAAATTATGTTCAAATAATATAGCTTAAGGCCTGTCTTGGGTATCTTACCAGCACTATAGTGTCCAGAGAGCAGGCACTTGGCCTTGGGAAGTTTCAGAGCTCATGAGGTTGGATAATTAGACTCCTTGCATAGACAGCAGAAGTTATCCCTTTTCCAATACCTGTGTAAGGTGCCTGGGTTTTCTTGTACCGCAGTTAAGCACTCTAGTGTGCTGAATGCGGAATTCTGTGGAGTTCTCAAACCAATCTGAAATGTTAAGGAGAGGGATAAGGGCAGCTTCCTTGAGGCTTGCTATTAAGTGCTCCCATCCCCATACAATAGTAAATGCCCTGTAACTTTTCTGAATATATATTTTTTTTGAGCTCAGTGAAGAAGACAATTTTTAATAACTGTCAAGTAGCTGGACTTCTGGTGGGGAGGGCTAAACTGGGAGTAGGTTGTATTGGAAAATCTGTTTCCTAGAACTTCCTTATTCTAATGGGATTGGGGTAAGGTCTGCTAGCCTTACTTGCTGGGCAGGTCTGCTAACAATTAGACTGCAGAGCAGTTTGTTTTCGGTTCGTATCTACTGAAAGTGAGATCACGCTGCAGGCAACCATGCAGAGTTCCTAGAGTCAGGAAGAGTAAACCTGTTCTCTGCTTCCAATGCTCTTAATGCATTTTTATCCCAGATTATTAAGTGGAATCTAAAAGAAAGGAGAATGACTGGCCATATCTGATTTTGCTGGAGTTGGAGAAGAGTATCTGCAAGTTGAGGTTGTAATGCATTTCAGAGTTGAAATACAAAAATAGGGAATATGCCCTGAGCATGTAGTACCTGGTAATGATATTAGTCCTATGTTTCAATTTTTCTATGTAGCAATGAACCTGCATAATCTAGTGTAAAAAGTTTAGATGTAAATGAGAATAAAAAAAGTGGAAAAAGGGAAAAATTAAGAAATACTTGCTTCCCTGTCATGTTTCTGCAGAACTTCACTGCTTTTAAACAATGGACAGATGTTTTTTTAAGTTTTGTTTTATTTTGTTTTTAGTAGGAAAGAAAAAGTTCTGGTAAAAATTGTTTTCTGTGTGCATCTTTGTAGTGATGCTTAGGGCTTTCAAACCTTAAGTTTAAGAAAAGGCTGTTGTAGACAAAGTACTGATATGAATGATGTGGTAAGGCAAATGTAATTCCCTTTAGTACAGTCTAAGGCATAAACACACATGGAAATTAGGACTAAGATATGTTTACCTTCATTTGATATATGTGTCAGTTAAGATTTAATAGGCATGTTTGATGCTCTATACAGTTAAGCTTATAATGTCTTTGCGTAAGTAGCATAGGTGAGAGTGTTTTTAGATAAAATACCATAGCATGCTGATATATACAGTATGATACTGTTGTTCTACATATTAACAAACATTTCTCGTTTAATTTGTAAACTTGATGAAATGTACAAATGTGCTTTTTATAATGTGATAAGCACTAATGGATGTTTTAAGGAAACTTCATTCCAAACTGGGTTGTCTCTCTCTCCCTGAGTGCTGGAAAGGTCCTCTCATTATTGTTGCACTCAGTGACTTAAGTAAGGCTTTTTTGAGCCTCTTGAATTTTATTGGCTGTACATCCAGAGGTGCTGTATTTGTAGTACACTATGCAAAAACAAAACAAAAAACAAACCACCTTCCTGCTACTACTCTATGTTAACAAATGGAATATCTTTCTCACAGATATTTTTTCTTTCTAATCAGAACGCTGATTTGAAGAAACAACTTCATGAACTTCAAGCCAAAATCACAGCATTGAGTGAGAAACAGGTAGGGAAACAGATGTATTTTTAACACCCTGTTTTAAAGATGTCTCTTTTCCTAGCTTCCAAGAGACCTGCTAAATTTTTAAGTGCAGAAATAAGTGTGGGCAACCAGACACTTTTGATTTTTATTGGATTTCTCAACAAAAGATAGGGTGAATTATTGTGAGTCTATCAGACAAGCTGCTCATTTAATCAGTGGAAGCTATAGCAATTTTTCTTGTGTTGAAACAAATGTTTTATATTAGGGGAGATGGGAAAATGGCTGAATTTTGTCACTTCCTTTATTATTATCTTAGAACTTATTCTAAACCAGACCATTCTGGTTTAGGCATGTCTCTAGATTTTGTCTTAGTTGGGCCATACTGTGTATATGGGTGAGTATGCTGGAAGTTTTCTTCGTGTCTAGCCCAACTAATCCATGTCAGTTGCGGATACCTTGGAAATTATTTGAGTGTTTTTACCATAATAAATTACACCACAATTGTCTTATGTTTGCCATTTGGTAGGAATTCTCTCTGACAGGTCTAGAGTATGAGTGATAATTACAACTGAATGTTTAATAGAAAGATTGTTGAAATTGAAAATGTGCCTTGTGGGTAACTAGAAGAAAAATAAGTAACATTGAGAGACCTATGTTTAAAAAAAAACCAAAACAGCAACACATGTGCAAACCCCTCATATACCACTCCATCCCACCCCCAGCTAAACTGACTTAAGCAGTTCCTTAATTGTATTGCTTATTGTGTTAATAATGGAACCAAATTAGATCAATAGACAACACCTTTAAAGAGGTGAAACATTTTAGAGCAAGTGCATAGGTAGAAATATGATAGAAATATAGAAATATAGGTAGAAATGCATCAGTGCCACATCTAGATACCTGTGTTCATCTGTTCCTAGCTGCATGTGTTCTGTTTTGAGAATTACCTTTCATAAGAAAATGGGCAGGTAGTGATTAACATTTATCTGAAAATTCTGTTTACTAAAAAAATTATAGTATGTTTTAGTAGGGAAACAGTGAATCTAGGAAGGAACATGTAAGTGTAATAAAGAAAATGATTTTTTAATGAGAATACTAGTTCAACAAAAACGGAGATTTTGCTGATGTGATAGTATGACTCTCTTGAAGATGATTTATTCTCTAGAACCAGCATGAGCCTCTGCATGTGGCTATGTCTCACAGCAAGCCATTTCAGGATTCTCTGGTAAGCTCTGGATGCCCCTGGTAATTTCAAAATTAGCTAGTCTTGATGCCACAAAGCAAGTCGTATTGACTCCCTGTTCACATGATGAGCACGGGACAGGCAGTGAGATGGTGAGTGGAGTGTAAAGAAGCAAGTACATCTTACCAAGACTTTTAAACCTGGATTTGCAACTGTTTAAAGTTTGTCAGTGTTACAGTGTGGTCTATGCTAATTTAAGTTACCCACCACTGGAAATGCAGCTAGAAATGTATCTTTTCTGCTGATAGTTACAGCTCAAGGTACTAAAACGCCCTTGCGATGGGATGAACATGGGTTGTGTTTCCAAAAGACTTTGAAATACAAGTTTCTGACTTCACTTCTACCACACAGTGAATACAGTCAATATGAAGTCACAGTACAGTTTCCTTTCTTGTATTTTTGTGGGTTTGATTCTCAGAACAACAATAGTGAACTTCTCTGTGATAGTTCAAGTTTAAATATTTTGTTATATCTACTGCTGGACTGCAGAACTGCCAGTGTCCCAGATGGTAGTATTATTAAAGTAGTATGACTGCTAAAATGCAGCAGTCATGGCAAATGTGAGTTCTGGGAAAATAACTACAGCTTCGCAACGTGAAGAAGTGCGCACTCCCTCTTATTTGAAGGAATCTGTTGTATAGACAGACATCTGTGGCTTAGCAGTGTAGAGCTGAGCGGCATCTTAGGGACTACACAAAGCCCTTTTTTCTGTTCTCACTTTTATTTCTCTTCAGGGAAAAAAAAATTGTTATGAATTGTTTTATTGGGAGAATATCATTCAACAATTTAATTTTCACACAGCATGGAGAAATGGGCAGTTTTGCATAGTAAATAAATGCCTTACATTGTGCAGTGCCTGTCTTAAGAAGAAATGCAACATGTTATCTGTCCTCTTGTTTAGAGCCAAGTAGTTTTGATGCCTGATGTCCAGTGAATAAACTCTGAGGACCTGACTCCACTGTGGACAGTTATGGGAGGCATAATTGTTCAATAGTCTTCTAATGAAATGTGAAAAACTAAAGTTCCAGCCTATGTGGTGTTCCTACTCGGAGACAGTGGCATGGAGCTGAGACCCTGGTGTTAGAGAGACAGAATAATGAAATATTTCTGTCTTCTGAAATGTTATGTCACCCTAATGCACGCTTTTTCTCTGCTCTCTTATTTAATGAAGTTGCCTGAAGGCTTGTGCAAGAACCAAGTCAGCGGTAGGTTAGCTAAAAGCTTTTAGTTGCTTTAGGACTTCTCTCCATTTCTGAAGCATTGTGAGAGTAGTGCCGACACTTGCTGCCAGTCGCTGCAGTGATTCATAGTGGCTTAGGTGTCTTGCTGAGAATTAATAATGACAGTTCTGTTCAGAAGTTTGTGAAATTGAGGAGATCTGGTGAAGTACAAAAAGAAAGCAGGTAGGCTGTACATGTATAGGCTTAAACATAAAGAGGTTTGTTAGCTGATGCAGGGTTGAACTGTTGCAGCATAAAGTATGTCATATATTCGTGGTTTTTTTGAAAATGTCAAAGAGGTGAAAATAAATGCTTTGATTTGTTTTGCCTAAGAGGCGATGAAGCAATGTGTCCTGAGTGTATTTATCTCATGAAAGGAAAACTGCAAAAGGAGAAAAAACTTACTTTAAGATAACTTGCATTTAAAGGGCAGTAAGAATTTTCCTTTGCTAGTCTCTTTGTTATTACCACAGAGTTCTCATCTATGCTTGCCTTTTTTCTAATCTGAGGGCAATGAGGTGTACTCAGTTTAACGGTCTTGCCCCTCAACTGTAAATATGAGAGCTGCAGTTCGGAAACCCTGAACTCACTGGTTTTAAAACTGATTGATTTCTTCTTTCTTCCCCTGCCCCTCTCCTCAATAAAGAGAAGTCATGAGTAACTTCTAGCAGAACAGTTGTAATTGCCAAATGTAAGCTTGGCAATTTAATTGCAAATTAATTGTTTTACTGTAGAGCACTGGGTTTTTTATGTTTTCACATCTTTGGAAGAAAGTCATAGTCTTAGCAGTCTTTCCTTCACTTTTTGTTCAGTGATAGTGTCTTCCTTTGATGTTCTGATTTTTAGACTTTTACCTGCAATTACTTATCACTATTCAGCTTTTGACTGGGTTAAATGTAGTCTTTATAATAAAAACCATGAAGAATGTATTTTTTAATTTTTCTGTGAGGAAGTTTACCAGTGTATACCTTTTTATACTTTGGCAAGGTGGGGTAGAGATTGCTACCAGGGACACTAGTGAAAGACTGAAGTTGAGCAGGCCTAGCATAGCAGAGTAGGAGGTATGTAATCTTGAAGTAGCACTTATTCTTCTGCCTGTTTTCTCCCATCGTTAGTTTAAAAAAATTATTATGAACTTAGATATTGTTGAGTATGTGTCAAAACAGTACTTATTTCCAATGACAAAGAAGAGGTCATGTTTATTTGATTAAAGAACTGTAAAGAAAGAAGTGGGCAGGAAAAAAAAACTTTTTTTTTTTTTTTTTTTTTTTTTTTTAGCAATATCTGGTCAAATACAGACGAATTTGTACATGTGTCCTTATCACAATCTCTTGGAAAAGTTGAAGCAATATTCTGTCTTAAATGTGGAAGAAAGCTTATAGGAGTAGTCTTTTGACTCTGGTAAAAAGGTGATGATGGTAAGCATGTACTAAAGAAATCACAGGGCTCTTTCCCTTATATTTGGAAAGAAAATAGAAATGTCTCTTACTGTAGTTGCAGTGAAATTCATTGAATCTTTAGGAAAACAGTGTTGAACTTACTTGTTTTCAAATACATTTGCTTGTGACACTGAAAGAATAAAGTAGTTCCCTTTGTTATTTTGTTTTCTGAAGAGCTGTATATATGTAGGAAAAAGTACTCAAAAATAGTTGTTGTCATAGGGATACTTACGGTTTTTATTTTATCATAGGGGAAAAACCTTACATACTTTACTGTGAAGAACAGTTGAAACTGTGGAATATAATTAGAAAGAATGCATACTATAAAAGCAAGCTTATCCTATTACTATGAAGAGGCAAATCTAGTGAATTTTGCTTGTATTTAAAGTTTAGAGCAAATTTGGGTAGATGTGGTTATTCTAAATCCTGTATTTTCAGAATGAGACTCCTTTTAACCTTGCCACTAAATAGCAAGTAATGAGAAGAGGGATTTGGGGAAGATTTAGAAAATGGTAGTGTAATTTAACTATGGTTTTGTATAGTTGAATAAATGTAAACATGTGGTTTAGATTGACAAAGGAAACTTGTTATTTAAGTCTTGAAAAGCTGTCAGGAATAGCTTTAAGCATTAATGTTGCTATATTTATTACAGGTACCATAACTGAGTAATGAAAAGATTGGTAATGTGCATAAATTCATCCTGTGAGACTGTTCTTCTTGAACAGTTGTCAATCATAGTAAAAGTGAATTTTTATGGAGGCTTTCTGAACACATTACCAGAAAATTGTACCTGAAACATGTTCCATCATCTTCTGTAAAGAGAAGAAGCAGCGATTTGGTGAGAGGAAGGTAAATGCAAGAAAGGCTGGAGAGCAGAAGGGAAACTGGGTACAGTTAACAGGTAGAAAAGAACACTTTGAAATGCCTGTGCCTAAGAAGGTAGGCAAGGTATGCCTGTATGTTATAGACAGGCCTGATGAACACCATGAGAATGTCTGGGCTCAAAACCTCAAACTCACTTCTCACTCCTCTCAGTTTTGTCTGGAGTTTCTGATACCTTCTGTTTCCAAAATTCATCAAGGGCATGTTAAAATTCCAGTTACTCTGTCAGCAGTGGACCGA